TGTTTGGCGGGTCCGGGCTGGGGATTCGAACCCGCCACCTTAGGTGTACGTGGCTGGCGCCTTAGCCGGTTGAGCTATAGGCGCCGAGCCTATCGCTCCAACTCTTGCTGGCTGCCACCACGGCGACCAGTGTCTGCTCTGTGTAGTCGCCGCCAACGTGGGCATGGTATAAGGATCTGGTCCTTGAAGCCTTCCTCTGCGTGCAGGACCTCAGTGCGCCTGCGCCGAGATCACCTCCTGGTGGTGAAACACCTGGGTCGGGTCGTTGGTGCAAGTGCACCACGGTCATGGGCGGGTAGTGGTGGCTGCCAGTGCACCCATGGCTGCCCCTGTCCTCATCGTTGGCTTCCTCCTCATCCACCACTGTGGTCTTGGTAGAGACCTCCACCTCAATCTTGTGTAGCCCCAAGATCTTGGCCAGCATCTCCAAGTGGTTTGTGGCCCAGGGCCATGGCTGAGTGCTCCATTGCATGACCTCGGTGCCCTTAGCACGAGGAGGTAGGCGCTGTAGGGAGGCCGGGAAGACCGCAGGGCTTTCCCACCTCCCTGACCCGGTTCTCCCTGCTAGTCCCCGCTCCCCGCCTCACCTCACCTTAGCCACCTGCCCTGGCCACACTGCCTCCCACCCTCTGAGCCAGCGGGCTGCTTCCCCCTTCCTCCTGCACCTTTGCCTCCTTCCACACAAAAAATCTAGAACTAGTGCCAGAGCTAAGGAAATCTAAATAATTTAACTATCATATTGGATAGGTATCTAAGATTAATAAAAAGTTTCTGCTTGCAAGGTAGGCACAGGGAGACAAGTATACAAACAAAAATACTGGGTATTTGATATTATCAGTACATTGATGAAGATCATATAGGCATTTTTGTGGTACCAGTGTTGGAGAGTTAATGCTTTGAATATTTATTTATTTATTTATTTTGAGACAGAGCCTCAAGCTGTCCCCCTGGGTAGAGTGCTGTCGCATCACAGCTCACAGCAACCTCCAACTCCTGGGCTCAAGTGAGTCTCCTGCCTCAGCCTCCCAAGCAGCTGGGAACACAGGCACCTGCCACAATGCCTGGCTATTTTTTTTTTGGTTATAGCCATCATTGTTTTTGGTGGGCCAGAGCTGGATTTGAACATGCCACCTTAGGTTTATGTGGCTGGCATCTTAGCCACTTGAGCCACAGGTGCCAAGCCTGCTTTGAATATTTAAAAGCAAAAGATGGGCTTCCAAGTATGAGAAAATTTTTAAGAAACAAATAAGGAACTCCCTACCACCTCTAAGCCCTAAAACTGGTAGAAAAAAATTAAATATGTAGTTGGCTATAACAGCAGCTTAGACATAGCTAAAGAGATATTTTAATGAACTAGAAAATGTCAGTTAAAAATATCCACACTAGGTGTGGTGCCCATAGTTCAGTGGTTAGGGCGCCAGCCATATACACCCAGGCTGGTGGGTTGGAGCCCCATCCAGGCCTGCTAGACAACAATGACAACTGCACCCAAAAAAATAGCCACATGTGGTGGGTGCCTGGAGTCCCAGCTACTTGGGAGGCTGAGGCAAGAGAATTGCTTAAGCCCTAGACTGTGAGGTTGCTGTGACACCACAGCACTCTACTGAGGGTGACTCTGTCTCAAAAAAAAAAAAAAAAAAAAAAAAAGTTTGTGTATATCTATATCCACACTAAAATATAGCAGGAACAAGGATGGAAAATACATTAGAGCTGGGTCCAGTAGCCCATGACTGAAATCCTGAGAGTCTGGGAGGTCGAGGTGGGTGGACGGCCTGAGCTCAGGAGTTTGAGACCAGTGTGAGCAAGAGCAAGACCCAGTCCCAGTCTCTACTAAAAAAAAGAAAAACTAGCTGGGCGTTGTGGTAGGCCCCTGTAGTCCCAGCTACTTGAGAGGGTAAGGCAAGAAGAACTCCTGGGCCCAAGAGTTTCTGGGTGCCACAAGCTAAGATGCTGTGGTACTCTACCCAGGGTGACAGGATACAATTCTGTCTTTAAAAAAAGAAAACAGAGTCTAAAGACACACTCAACAAACTAAAAAGGCAAAATGTATGTGTGACTAGAGTCCTAGTAGTAGAGGAAAAATACAGAAGAAATATTTGAAGAGATAATGGCTATAAATTTTCCAAAACAGCTCAAATGAGGCCAGTTTCAAGAAACACTATTTAACTTCAAGTAGGATATAAAAAACAAAAGCAAAAACTCCACCTAGGCACATCTTAATAAAACTAATAAACCCTGATAGCTTATTTTTCAACAGAAACAATGGAAGCCAAAAAAGAATCTTCAAAATGTTGACAATATCTAGAATACAAGTTGACAAAGTTTCTCTAATTTTTTTCTTAAACAGGTCCGTGGTGTGCAGTTGTAGCCCCAGCCATGGGGAAGACTAAAATAGGACTGCTTGAGCCCAGGAATTTCAGGTTACAGTGAGCTGTGATCACAGCACTATACTCCAGCCTGGGTGACATAGTGAGACCCTGTTTCTTTTTTTCTTTTGAGACAGTCTCACTTTTGGTAGAGTGCCATGGCATCATTACTGACAGCAACCTTAAACTTTTGGGCTCAAGGGATCCTCTTGC